GATGGAGTCTTGCTCTGTCACCCAGGCTGGAGTGCAGTGGTGCGATCTTGGCTTACTGCAACCTCCGCCTCCCCGGTTCAAGCAATTCTCCTGCCTCAGCTGGGATTACAGGTGCCTGCCACCATGCCCAGCTAATTTTTATATTTTTAGTAGAGATGGCGTTTCACCATGTTGACCAGGCTGGTCTCCAACTCCTGACCTCAAGTCATGCACCCACCTCAGCCTCCCAAAGTGCTGGGATTACAGGTGTGAACCACCATGCCCAGCCAATTTTTTTTCTTTTTTTTCTTTTTTTTGGAGACAGAGTCTCTCTCTGTCACCCAAGCTGGAGTGCAATGGTGTGATCTTGGTTCACTGCAACCTCTGCCTGCCAGGTTCAAGTGATTCTTCTGCCTCAGCCTCCTGAGTAGATGGGATTACAGGCACGCACCACCATGCCCAGCTAATTTTTGTATTTTTAGTAGAGATGGGATTTCACCATGTTGACCAGGCTGGTCTCCAACTCCTGACCTCAAGTTACCCGCCCTCCTCAGCCTCCCAAAGTGCTGGGATTACAGGCATGAGCCACCGCACCCAGCCAACTTTTTATCTTGTATTGAAAACGCAGCTTTTATGTGGCTGCAGGACCTCTTATAAGAAAGACATAGCTATAGACTCTAATATGATCCAAGAAAAAGCAAAGTTATGACACCTTAAAACAAAAGAAAGGTAAAGTATCTGTGATGATTAATATTAGGTTTCAACTTGATTGGATTGAAGGATGCCTAGATGGCTGGTAAAGTATTGTTTCTGGGTGTGTCTGTGAAGGTGTTGCCAGAGAAGATTGACAGTTGAGTTGGTGGACTTCGAGAGGAAGACCCACCCCTCAATGTGAGTGGACACCATCCAATGGGCTGCCAGTGCACCTATAACAAAGCATGCAGAAGAAAGTGGGATAAGCCAGCTTGCTGAGTCTTCTGGCTTTCATCTTTCTTCTGTGCTGGGTGCTTTTATCTGTTCTGCCTGTGCTCTTGGATATCAGACTCTGGTATGGCCTTTGGACTCTTGGACTTACATCAGTGGTTTGCTGGGCAGGGGTAGAGGGGTAGTCTCAGGCTCAGCCACAGACAGAAGGCTACACTGTTGGCTTCCCCGGTTTTGAGGCTTTCAGACTTGGACTGAGCCACTAGTGGCTTCTTTCTTCCCCACCTGCAGACAGCCTATTGTGAAACTTTGCCTTGTGATCATGTGAGCCAGTTCTAACAAACACCCTTGCACAGCCTGACCAATATGGTGAAACCCTGTCTCTATGAAAAATATAAAAATTATGCCAGGTATGGTGGCTCACGCCTCTAATCCCAGTACTTTGGGAGGTTGAGGCAGGCGGATCACCTGAGGTCAGGAGTTCGAGACCAGCCTGGCCAACACGGCAAAACCCCACCTCTACTAAAAATACAAAAATTAGCAGGGTGTGGTGGTGCATGCCTGTAATCCCAGCTACTTGGGAGGCTGAGGCAAGAGAAGTGCTTGAACCCAGGAGGCAGAGGTTGCAGTGAGCTGAGATCACACCAGCAATTATACGCACTCCAGCCTGGGCAACAACAACAACAACAAAAATTTGAGGCAAAAAATGAGACCAGATAATTTCGAGTTTTGACTATATTAGAAAAGGCATCAGTCCATTTATATAGGTAACAATGATAATGATATTTTTTAAATATACAGACTTACACGAATATATACATATTTGAGGAATCATAACTGAAACTAAATCAATAAGAGAATGAGAGAAATATGTTTATTCTTTGGGTACATCTAAGGTAAAATTGAAATGAGTTATTATAAAAAGATCTAGGTCTCCACTTCTTATGCTCTATTAGTTTTATATGCCAGGAGTATTAATCTTAAATCTTTATCTTAAATATCAGGGTTTTAAAAATTGAGTCTGTTTTACAAATCTACTAAGTAGCTAAAGGAACTTTTCAAAATTCCTTT